GGTGCAGCAAAGGGTTTAGTGAAGTGCCAGCCTGCCGCCAGGGCTGTGGCCAGTGCCCCTCTGTGTTGTGGCACTCACCAGGAGACAACTCTTCCCTGTGCCTTGGGTTGTGGGAGCAGAGCCACAGCCACGCAGGGGAGACCAGGAACCCTGGGGTATCCCCCCCACCACCCTGCCCCAGGCTGTCCCCCACCTCCAGCCCCTCACTGCCAAGCTGCAGCACACCAGTGCTGCAGCTTCATCACCTACTTTCTTCTTTTTTCTGTCTCATTTATTTTTTGGGGGGTGGGAGGGAGGAAGGGGGTGGGAGGACCAACCTGTCAACGTGGATGTTGGGTAATAAAACCTTGCACAAACCTCTGCGCAGGGCTGCTTGCATCTCCCTGAGCCAGGACACAGCAGGGTCAAGGGACAGTGGGGCAGCCCTGGGAAAGGTCCTAGGGGCAAGAAGCCAGGCTGAGCCTTATGGTGGCACTCACCTCCCTCTGGTGCCAGCCTGTCCCAAAACTATCACTTTGTGCCAGGAGAGATGACCCCAAGCTGGCTGAGCCCCCGGGGCAGATGAGCTGATGGCCACAGGACACTTAGACCCACATGGAACGGGTTTATTGCCAGCCTCTGAACACAACAACACCAAAGCAGCTGCCCGAGTCCTGCTCCAGCTCCACTGCTCCCTGCACTCCTGCTCACAGGTCCGTGGTGGTGAAGGCATTGTTGATGTGTGCTATTTTGGTGGGCTCCTTCAGGTTCAGGGCGGCCACCAGCACCTCCTCGTCTGTGTGGTCCATTGGCTCTTCTCTGCTTCGCTGTAGGAAGAGAGTGTGATCAGATAGGATGGGGACAGGGACATTCCCATCCATCCCAGGAGCTGGAGGCTGTCAAGAGGTTGGAGAAGAAGGGGCATGAGGGGTCCAGGAGCCTGGGGACCACAGCAGAGAGGAGGGGACACAGGCTGTGGTGGCAGGACTCACTGCTGGGCACCAGCAGCTCTTTGCATGCTTACTTGGGCTTTGAGGTCGTTGTCCCCAGGTACATTTACTGTGTTTTCATCCAGGGAATTCATGCTGTGGAGAGTGAAGGGTGGGAGTTAGAACAGGGCCCAGGCACTGCCAGAATGGGGATGCAGGGTAACAGCCCCGTGGCCTTTGGGACCTGCCTACAGAGCTCACCTGGCTATGGAGACGGAGTCCTCATGGAAGCCCAGGTCATGGGAGGGATCAAGTGAGAGGTTCAACATGGGATTGGCCCTGACCGGGGATGGGTGGCAGGTCAGTGACTGTCCCCTGGGGCTGTGGGGTCAGCCCAGGGCAGCCACATCCCCCAGGGAGGAGGGGTGTGACAGAGGGCCCTGCAGCCCCTCCATGTGGTGACGTGCCTAGGCTCTCCCCTCCTGCCCCAGGGAGCCCCCCGCTCACCCCTCTGCGTTGTACTGGTTGGTCCCGGGGATGCCAGCTCCCTGCTGCTCCATGGCAGGGCTGAGTGTCGTGGCCACCTTCAGAGCCTTCATTGCACTCAGCTTCCTCTTGTAGCTGCAAAGAGAGGGACAGAGGGGAGCAAGGCCAGGGGATGGAGTGGGCAAAAGTGGCATGGAGGGTAGGTATGGGTCTGAGGGTGTTGGTGAGGATGGGAGCTCTGAGGGGAGGCAAGGGGTGTGTGCAAGCAGTGGGGTACCTCCTAGTGGTTAGAACCAAGACGAGGGTCATGATGAGGATGAAGAGGACCAGGAATGCTGCCAGACCTGCGATGATGCCGATGAGCTCTGCCTCCCTGGAGGGCTTCTCTGCCTCCCCGGGGCCCTGGTGTAGAGCAGGGGTGAGGGCACAGTCCCAGCCAGTGATCCCCAAAAATATGTCACCCACAACGCCCCTCCCAGCCTCATACAGGGCTGGTGCCCTCTCCCTGTGCCCCTTGCCTAGCCCCACTCACGATGACAGCCAGGCCCAGCTTCACCAGCTCAGCCAGGACCTGCGGTTCCGACTGTATGAGCCTGCCAAGGAAAGCAGAGGTGTGAGGGGCCGGTCCAGGTCCCCAGCAGTGCCCGTGCACGGCCCCTGCCCCAGCACACACATGCTCAGCTGATTGACATCCAGGGCAGTGCCGTTGCTGTAGACAAAGTACGCTTCCATCACCGACTTGGCTTCCACCCTGCAGGATCAAAGAGACAGGGTGAGCAGAGTGCAAGTCTCAGTGCACTGCCCCAGGGTGACTCCCTCCAACTCCACCACCACATTCCCTTCCCCACCACCTGCGTGGCCCCACTCACTGGGAGGCACGGCTGTCCTCCACGGTCCGGATGGCCACCACATAGACTGCTGCCTTGGTTGCTGTGGTCAGAGCCCTAGGAACAGGAGGGATGGAGGGAGGCTGGGATGGGTGTCCTGCTGCTCTGCTCATGGGCAAGGGTAGCAGCTGAACCCCTTGCAGCCCCCAGCTTTGGTGGGGACCTGCCTGCCCCAGTCCCCTCCATGGTCCATGAAGCTGGGAGACATGGTCAGTGGGCCCTGATCTGCATGTTTGTGTCCTCCACTGTACAGCCTTGCAGGAACCCACTCCCCAGCCCGGCACCCCTTACGTTTTGATATTTCCAGAATTACTCTGGACTTCATCCACTGTTGTCACAAACTGGAGGCGAACACGGTAGCTCTGATCCACTGCGAAGATCTGGGCAGGGAGAGCAGGGGTCAGCAGGGCTGTTCGGGTTGTGGGGTGTCCCCAGACCAGGGGACAGGGGCGACACTCACATTCAGCACAGTCTGTACTTTGTGGTTTGGCTTCTCATCATCCTTAGCCTGCACCATCACCTGGTACTGCCCCTTCAGCGAGTCATCGAGGTTGCTGGCCACCCTTCGAGGACAGGGACATCAGCAACCCCATGGGACATCCCTGGGAGGGCACAGTCATCCCCCAAGCTCCACCCTACCACCATGCCCAGGGCAGGACTCTGGGATGGCATTGTCACTTTGCCAGCCTGCACTGGCCCTGCCTGCACCTTTGCCTTGCAGCAGGCAGGAGCTGAGCTGCATCCCCACCCACCTAGCCCAGACCCATGGCCTCACTGGATGCTCCCGACGTAGCTGTTCTCCTCTACTGTTGTCACCACCTTGAAGAGGTTCTCAAAGGGCCGGCTGGCACCGTTGTCCTCCACGAGCACCACACTGAGAATGGAGAAGATGATGGTTCCGCCCCGCCCCGTGTCAGCATCTGTGGCCTGCAGGGACAAAGTGTGGCAGGAGCACAGATGG